TGCACTGGCTGAAAGTACACACTGCTCGATCCAGAGATTGAACTCACAAACACTACGTAACCAAATTGACAAACCAATACTTTTATCCATTAGGCTACTGTTTGTTGTAGTGAACCTGGAGCTTTAAACTCAATAATCCGAATATAAATCGTGTAAATAATGATAACGCTTCATCTCAGTAATTCAGACAGAAATCCTCGGAAATTATTTCCAGTAAATACGCCCATTTTCATTTGTGCTTTGGGAGAAATTAGGAAAACATTTAAGTGAAATATATAAAACAGCTCTCTTCTTTTGATAGGGCCTTAACAAATGGTTCTATTAAGCAAACCCTAATATGAAGCGATGCAATAGAGTATTTCCTGGATCCACTGCTTAGGTTTAATGACATTTTTGGCACCAGCCTGATGATTATTTTTATTTGATCCTTCTATCGGAAGTCAATGTAAATTTTTCGCTCTTCTTTGCTGTCCCCAAAACAAAGGACGTTTGTGTATCATGTTTACCAAATCTAATATACAAAGACAGAACTTATAGATTTCCACATACCAGCCAACAGTTCTCATTGAAAATGATTTATTCAAAAACCAAATTTTGGAATATTTCTTTTAAGCGCTCAGAATGGGTAAAATGAATTTATGCATATTTATTACCATTCAGAAGAAGTGCCACTTCCAGGCTCCTCGTCGATGAATTTATAAAAGTCTTCTGCATTGTAATCGATGCCAAATTTCTGCACAAAGATCCATTTTTGTTGAAATTTGATGCAAAATTCTTTTCTCTATTTCTGCACTAAGAGAGTGTTGTTTACGGATTTTTTTTCTCTTTTCATGTGAATCCCAAGAATTCTTCAGCATCTTGGGGGAGACCGAAGTCTCTTATTAAATCATTAAGTGTACCCTGAAAATGACTGATTCATTGTTTGAATGTGTTGGGGTGAATTCTTCATATTTGCAGCATCTAAATAATCAAAACTAACAGATAGAATAAGAATTGATAGATCCATGTTTTGTTTGAAGACGTTTTTGGCTCTAACCTAAAGATTCTTCCCATTTGGCCAATTCTTCAGATGCCAATGTAAATACTTTGCTTTTAAATTTCCCTAGAGCCAGGGATTATCCTCTTAGTTGATTTTCTCAAGAATATTTGCCAAATTCTGAAATGTTTCTTTTTAATACACATGATGTGCAAAGGATATTGAGTGGAGGAGTATGAACCGGACGAGAAACGAGCCTATCTACTCCTATTGCAAATCAAATCAAGATTGCGTAACTAATACAATTTGAGATGAAAAAATAACAAATTAAACAATCCTAAAAATTTAATTTATATAAGCAAAAGTAATTTTAATGACTAATTTTATGATTTTTATGCGATTAAAACTGAAATCAAAACTTCAAAGTATATATAAACTATTGGAAAACATTTTAAATTTTTAATTAAAAATCTTTAGCCATTTCTAGCAGACATTTCCATCTTGCTAAAAAATGAATGTGTAGATGAAGCTTTCGCCATTAGAAGATAAATATATCGATCATGAATTGAACTGTTTTTGTTGATGACTTTAATGTGAGAAATATGTCGACATGGGGGAGAAATGTCTTTTCATCTTGGGGTTGCTTGGCGCTCGAATCTTGTTTCATGGAAGATATAGATCTCGAAGAAAGACATTCCTATCTAATGGTAGCCACTAATTATAATGTAACCAAGGAAATATATGGCCACTAAAGAAAATTGTGTAGAAAAAAATACGAAAACTACTTGAAATATAAATTAAACTACAAATTTTATCGCACTTGTTCACACTTCTCATACACACACACATATACACAGACACAAGCACACACACACATATATATGTGTATATATATATATATATATATATATATATATATATATATATATATATATATAAAAGACATTTTATGTTTAAGATTCTTTTTTATAGATACAAGTACTTTAGTAAATGGTCTGTTTATAATAAATAGTATTAAATAACATACTAAAATACTTGTATCTATAAAAGAATGTTAAACATAAAAAATGTCTTTAAATAATTGTCGGACTATGTCCATTTCATAATGTATATATATATATATATATATATATATATATATATATATATATATATACTAAAACAAATCTACATTATAACCAAATGTTTTCGGTTTCTCTCTTTTTTTAAAATATACATTTTTTCTCTCGTTGGAACAACTATAACCTTTTTCCCATATATATACATACATACATACATGCATACGTATATATATATATATATATATATATATATATATATATTCAAATAATAGGAAAAAACAATCAGATTCATTATCCAGATTTCTTTAGTATTTATTTTCATTTTTCAAGAACAGTGTATGATACAAAGTATCAAATAATATTATAATTATTTCTTTTTAAATTATAATTATTTCTTTTTAAATTATAATTATTTCTTTTTAAATTATAATTATTTCTTTTTAAATTATAATTATTTCTTTTTAAATTATAATTATTTCTTTTTAAATTATAATTATTTCTTTTTAAATTATAATTATTTCTTTTTAAATTATAATTATTTCTTTTTAAATTATAATTATTTAAAAAAAAAATATATGTCCACATCCTGACACACAACATCGCTTGGGAATGGAACCGAGCTCCGAATTTTAAGTTTCGGTTTCGAAACATAGTAATTTCTGTGTCGCGACGGAATTTAAAAAAAATAATTACAATACACACACACACACGCACACACACACACACACACACACACACACATATATATATATATATATATAAACGTTTGTGTCTGTGTAAATGTGTGTGTGTGCTAATGCTTTGAAATTCTGAAATAAATTCAAAGAGTAAGACTATTCCTGTGAAGTGAAACCTTTTCAGTGCTTCTTCAAAGGCTAACAAAATAGGGAAGTCGATGAGTGCCGTTCCCCAGCCACTCGCCTTACTGCGGTTATATTCATGATATTTGTTGGCGTCTTCGGAATGGGTGTGTCGGCCTTTCGTCATCAAAATGGAGAAGATCCCTTTAAGCAGCCCTTAAAAAAAAATGTCTCTTTGACCTATCCGAAAATCCGATCATTTCAGACCTAACCAAAGAAATACAGATAAAAAAAAAAATTATCAATCATTTTTCGTATTTTACTGGCTAAGAGGAAAAGAAAGAAATGAAATGAAGCAATGAAAGAAAGAAAAAAAGTAGAAACAGACGAGGTACATATATATATATATATATATATATATATATATGTATGTATGTATGTATGTATGTATATGTATATATGTCTACAACTCTTTGTTTGTCCGATGATCGGAAAAGCGGGAAACCCAGGGTCACAAACTCATATCCATAAAACTGAATATATATAAATATACATATATATGTGTGTGTGTGTGTGTGTGTGTGTGTGTGTGTGTGTGTGTGTGTGTTTTGAACAATAAAAAATATTTTTTAAAATTCTAATTTTCAGACACACTGTGTTGTATATTAATATTTTTTTGTTTTATTATTTCACTTAGGTTTCTCGACTAGTTTCGGCCATCATGGCCATCATCAGGAGAAAAAAAATCCATGCTTGTTAATAGCAGTGAACTACAGGAATGAATGACTATCACTAAAGAAATTGAATTTTATCTGTAGTTTTCATTTGTTTGTTTTTTTTTAATCGTTACTTTTGGTTAGTACTTGTGTTGGTCAAACAGCCTTTTGAAATTGTTTTTAAGATAGAAGATAACAGATTCCTAGCTAAAATTTCCCTCTTTGGCCATTTTGGCAGTGATTGCTAGGAATGGTATGTGCATGTTAAGTGTATGTTATCTTTTAGTTCTTTGAAATGTTTCGACCGTTGTCCCTCCAGACTTCTTCAGATGTCTTTTGTACTCTGTAACCTCGTTTCAATTTTGAACCAAACCCTTTTATCAATCCTTAAGGTTACCTTGTTCTCGTTGGGATGTATTTAATTTGGGGGATATATTTCATAACACTTTTTCGTCTTTTCTTACACTAAGCCCGAGTATAAAGTAATTTTTTAAGTGTAGTTTAGATGTGGCACAAGGCCGAAAGTTTGGAGCACCCAGTGAAGATGGAACTCACTACACATTCGTAAGGCTGCTAACCATTATACCACGTCGAAGTGTCCATGATTTTCTAAGCTTAGATGTGGCACAGATCAGAATGTGTCGGGTACCCAGCGAGGGCTGAAATCACTCTGAACCCAAGTATAGAATTTTCAACCCTACCATCCCTAGAGATTGAACTCACAACTACCAGGGTATCATATGTCTTGACAAATGCATTAATTCTATGTGTATTCCAGTTGAGCCCTTCGACGTGTTGGAATGGTTCGACAGCTTGTCCCGGTGAATCAATTACGACTCACTGGGTGCTTCATACATACTCTGTCTTATGCTAAATTTTAGCTATATTTAGAAAATCTCCATTATGCATTCCATTTTCTTGCTTTTTCTACTGAAACTATTTAATAATTGTTTTTATTATATGTCTTCATATTTGGACCCACAACCTCATCTTGATTGTTATGCACGAAACCTTTCGACCGATGTACCTACCGACCTTCTTCAGATGTCTCTAATCATATTCAATAACTTTCTCGAAATTTAGAACCGAAATAAAAGAAAAACGTATAGAATTCTTTAAAGAAAATCAGTAGGACGCTTTGCTGCGATGTCGTGATTATCGAACTTGTCTAGCAGGTTCTTACGACGGAAGTGAGTTAGATGCTCACCGAGAGCCCTTATTCACGAGGGTTGTACCTCGAGAAGCTAAGTTTTGCAAATAAATAGTGAATGTAAATTATACAAGTGAAGGAATTAAAAAAAAGATAGACACTCAATGAAAAGAAAGAAAGAAAAAAAAGAAGAAAGAAAGAAAGAAAGAAAGAAAGAAAGAAAGAAAGAAAGAAAGAAAGAAAGAAAGGAAAAGTCAGAAAACCAGCATCAACGAAGAAAGAATGAAACAAAGTGAACTAAAAACGAACAAGAAAGAAAGAAAGAAAGAAAGAAAGAAAGAAAGAAAGAAAGAAAGAAAGAAAGAAAGAAAAAAGAAAGTCGGAGACAAAGAGGGAAAACAAGACACTACAAAGAAAATAAGAATCAGATTAAAAAAGAAGAGGGGAGAAATGTCATAAGAAAGAAAAAGTAAAGATGAATTGGTGATGCTGAAAAAAAAAAGAGGCAGAAAGAAAAAACAAATGGGAAGGAAACAACAAAATATTGAAGAAAAACAAGAAAAGTGATTTAAAAAGAAAAACCATTGGAATCACAACCTCTAGCATGAATCACTGACATTTTACTCCACAAAGGTTGTCATATGTGCATATTGGTTTGGAAGAAAGCCAAAAAACTTGAGGAACCCAATGAGGCTGAAACTCAGAGCAGGAGCAAATTGGTCTACAAAAAGAACTAGAATTTTTGGTTCATCAAACAGTTATTTCTACAGCTGACATTAAATCTAACCCAATGTCTGCCTAGTGGAGAACCTAATCAAAAATAAACTTGTCTACTCGAGACATTTTGCACCGGTGTCAACTCGGAACGATTCATTGTATTGAAATTTACATTTGTTTCTTTATACGTTATACTTGTTCAAAAATAAAATGAAGAAGTATTTTTTTTCTAGGTTTTACTGATAATGAGCAAAACATTAGAGAATTGCTGACATGTCTGGACAAGAATAGATCAAGCCTAATGTTCCAGTCATTCTGACACTCTTTATCTTTGCAAGGGACACATTAGAAAAAAATAAAGTATTGCTATCACATCTTGGTTGGAGCGGCTACATCTTAAATTGCCATTCCTTCTAACTCTCTTTACCTTTACAAGAGTCAGATTAGATCAAATCTGGAGTATTGCTGTCATATTTGGTCTGAAGCTGCTCAATCCTAACTTTCCAGTTCTTCTGCGAAACTTTATCTTTGCAAGAGTAAAATAAGATCAAATATGGCGTATTGATGACATGTCCGACTTGGAACTGCTCAATCCTAACTTTCCAGCTTTAGCAGATTTCAAAATAATTTACGTGATCTTGTGGAAGAATTCTTCTCCTTAATTTTTCAGCCTTTTTCCTACAAATTTAACAGTACAGATTTATTACTACTCTGTCATTACTTACACGGTAAATGTTTTCAGGATCATTTTTGAGTTGCACCAGTTTAGTTCTTTAATACTTTTATCTGTCATGCTACGTCCACGAAACCGACACAGCCTCCTTTTCTTTCACATTACGAACGTGAGATGAAAATTCCACATGGATTGCTTATTCCCAGAACTGAAATTTTCTGGAACAGGCTCTCACGTAGATGATTTCCTGAACCCTACAATCTTCTCTTCTTCAAATTTATAGTCAATCTTTTTGTATCCTCCCTATCCTCATAATCTTCACTTCCTACATATGCCTCTTTCATTTATATCATTCGCCATTCATGAAACAATTTTAAATGTAACCCTCTACCTTGAGTGGCTCCTTATATTGTTTCTATACATATCATTTATTATTTGATTACATGAATTCCTTTGTAAAATATTGGGAAACTATTGTCCCTTGACTATTACAGAGCCTTGCAATTCGATACAATATTGATTCTTGGAGTCAAGTAAGGTTAAACCGGTCAATTTTCCTCTCATTTTCTAATCATGGTTGTCAGGAAGTTCTTGCCAAAGATTTTCGATGGTGTCTGCTTAAAGGGAACGGAATTGGCCTCCCCGTAATAAGGGTATGGGACTTTGATCCTTCATCAAATGAATATAAATTCTCTACAGAAAAAAGGAGTTATACGGATGAAAGCTACTCATCAGACTGGTGAAGACATCAAGTTATCTTATCCAAATAGACCCAACGTTATAGGCAGCAAGATTTAAAGTCCACATAACTGGATTATTTGTCTATTTTATAATAGAAGCGTCTGTGCGAGATTTGCTTTTATTTGTTTTACAGCATATCAACTTCTTATGGGTCATTTAACCCTAGAACACTAACCATCAGTTAAAGTTACACCACTATTAACCATGGGTATATCACCCGATTTTGAAAATATCAAATAAAAATATTAAATATAAAACTTTATTTGAAATATTTTACATGTAGGCTCTCCAAACTTTCTACTTGGAGTTAAAATTAATAGGAACTGAAGACAAAGTAAAAAAAATTGCCAGAGACTCTGCTCTTTTTTATTTCTTCAGGTTAGAATGAAAGAAAGACAATGTACGCGAGGGAAAATGTCTTGGGATCTCTGAGGATAAATAGTGACCGTAAATCAAATTAAATTCGATACCTTATCACTTCCAATGTCCAGACCCCAAAGAGTGTCTGCTCGCCTGTTTGTATGTAGTGCACCAAACATAGGTTAACATTTCTCGCCAAAGTGCCAATTCAAGTAAGGCTTGGTATAAAAATTCAATTTTTGTAACAAGGGCATTGAGTACTTGAAGATCAGCCCTACTTAAACCTAGAACATTAACTATCAATTAAAGTTACACCACTACTAACCATGGGTATATCATACCCAATTTTGAAAATAACAAAAAAATATTAAATATAAATGTTTATTTGAAATATTTTAAATGCAGGCACTTCAAACTTTGTACTTTGAGTTAACATTAATAGGAAATGAAAAACATTATTTAGGTAAGAAAATCAGGTACTGAATATTGTAATTAAAAATATGAAAATTTGCGCTGGGTACTATATACCCATGGTTAGTGTTCTAGGGTTATAGCCGAAATTTAATTTTACTGTGAGTATTAGCAATTTCTTTTACAAGAATGTGTTTCTGGCAATATTTTTTTTCAAAAATATATTGCTGGCAATTTTCTTTTAAATAAATTTATGACTTGTATTATCTTTTGTTTATTTTACAAATAAGTATGGCTGGTAATGTTTTTATTATGGAGATGTATTGCAGGCACATTCACTATAAAAATATATTTCTACACTTTGATAGGTGAGCTATTTGGCCATAGTTGGAACACTAACAGGTGCTACCATGCCCGGATCAGGGAAATCTGGGAGATACGGGAATGAAGAGCTGGTGCCACGTGACACAAAACCTCCCAATCAGAGGCGTTGCTGCCAGATGTAGTTTATCGTCTTACCCAGGAGGATGGGTGAAGCAATGATTAATCAATGCAAGAATCGAATTTCAGATGAGAATACTGGTGCTAATTGCCGAATCATTAATCTGCTTCTCCATGTTTCGATATCAAATTACCCCGTCACTGTCACACCAAGTTAGTTTACGGAGGAGATTGTGGGAGAGTGGGGCAAATCTACCTTATCCAGCCAGTAGAAGCAAAAAGAAATTATCCCTAATCAAACCATGCAACTTCATGCAATTAGTATTTTTCATTGATCTTAGCTGACAGAATATACAATCAAGAAAATACGAGACTGGGTTGAAAAAGTCATAGTCTGATGAGGAAGGCATGATGCAGGAACTGTGAAATCATTAATTATTAATTTCAACTCTTCTTATTAATAACTTCATGTACGATGGTGGACTGAAATGTTCATAGTCTGCCTATGAAGAAATGATGCTAGTGCAGTAAAATCTTGTATGTATTAATTTCAAATCTTCTTATTAATAACTTCATTGTTTCTTTGCAGGTACGATGGTGGCCTGAAAAGATCATGGTCTGCCTATGAAGAAATGATGCGAGTGCAGTAAAATCTTGTATGTATTAATTTCAACTCTTCTTATTAATAACTTCATTGTTTCTTTGCAGGTACGATGGTGGGATGAAAAGAGCATAGTCTGCCTATGAAGAAATGATGCGAGTGCAGTAAAATCTTGTATGTATTAATTTCAACTCTTCTTATTAATAATTTAATTGTTTCTTTGCAGGTATGGTGATGGGCTGAAAAGATCATAGTCTGGCTATGAAGAAATGATGCTAGTACAGTAAAATCTTGTATGTATTAATTTCAACTCTTCTTATTAATAACTTAATTGTTTCTTTGCAGGTACGATGGCGGGCTGAAAATTTCATGGTCTGCCTATGAAGAAATGATGCGAGTGCAGTAAAATCTTGTATGTATTAATTTCAACTCTTCTTATTAATAAGTGCATGGTTTCTTTGCAGGTACGATGGTGGGCTGAAAAGATCATAGTCTGCCTATGAAGAAATGATGCGAGTGCAGTAAAATCTTGTATGTATTACTTTCAACTCTTCTTATTAATAAGTGCATGGTTTCTTTGCAGGTACGATGGTGGGTTGAAAAGATCATAGTCTGCCTATAAAGAAATGATGCTAAGTGCAGTAAAATCTTGTATGTATTAATTTCAAATCTTCTTATTAATAACTTCATTGTTTCTTTGCAGGTACGATGGCGGGCTGAAAAGTTCATGGTCTGCCTATGAAGAAATGATGCTAAGTGCAGTAAAATCTTGCAAGTCTTAGTTTCAACTTATCTTATTAATAACTACATGGTTTCTTTGCAGGTACGATGGTGAGCTGAAAAGATCATGGTCTGCCTATGAAGAAATGATGCTAGTGCAGTAAAATCTTGTATGTATTAATTTCAACTCATCTTATTAATAACTTTATGGTTTCTTTGCAGGTACGATGGTGGGCTGAAAAGATTATGGTCTGCCTATGAAGAAATGATGCTAGTGCAGTAAAATTTTGTATGTATTAATTTCAACTCTTCTTATTAATAACTGCATTGTTTCTTTGCAGGTACGATGGTGGCCTGAAAAGATCATGGTCTGCCTATGAAGAAATGATGCGAGATCAGTAAAATCTTGTATGTATTACTTTCAACTCTTCTTATTAATAAGTGTATGGTTTCTTTGCAGGTACGATTGTGGGCTGAAAAGATCATAGTCTGCCTATGAAGAAATGATGCTAAGTGCAGTAAAATCTTGTATGTATTAATTTCAACTCTTCTTATTAATAAGTGCATGGTTTCTTTGCAGGTACGATGGTGGGTTGAAAAGATCATAGTCTGCCTATAAAGAAATGATGCTAGTACAGTAAAATCTTGTATGTATTAATTTCAACTCTTCTTATTAATAACTTAATTGTTTCTTTGCAGGTACGATGGCGGGCTGAAAAGTTCATGGTCTGCCTATGAAGAAATGATGCTAAGTGCAGTAAAATCTTGCAAGTCTTAGTTTCAACTCATCTTATTAATAACTACATGGTTTCTTTGCAGGTACGATGGTGAGCTGAAAAGATCATGGTCTGCCTATGAAGAAATGATGCCAGTGCAGTAAAATCTTGTATGTATTAATTTCAACTGATCTTATTAATAACTGCATGGTTTCTTTGCAGGTACGATGGTGGGCTGAAAAGATCATGGTCTGCCTACTTCCTCCTTTTTTTATAGTGTCCCATGATTCGTTAAAATATTTATTGTGTATCCTGAAGTGTTTTTCCTCTCTAATATATAATATTATAGTTTGTTAAATACTAAAAGTGTTAAGTATATTTCAGCCTTGTTGAATATTTTCTTGAACCTTATTTATTATTAATTGGTAGTTATTTACTTTCCCCATACCATTAGAATAATGAATGGATCCGTGGGCATTTAGGTTATTCGTGATAGTAACACCATTTTAAAATGCACTAAATCTAAGAAAAAAACTGTAGTATATGCGCGCAATAGCTATATAACAACGCTCCCGTTTTGGAAATTGTTGCAGCATACCTGCGGGCTATAATGAGTATGTCCCCACTCACATAAATACAGTAGTAAATACTGTATGTTGGTCTTCAGTTGGAGATTCGTCTCCAGCTGTCTTGGTCAATCTCTCTGCCTCCAGACAAAGAGGATCCCCACACGAGGCTATATCAGAGGGCAGATTCTCGTCTCGGGGAACAGCTACCCGACTCCGTTTTATACAGAGTCCACGGGGATTTTTTAGACGAGCCTACAGGTACTGATATCCCACATTAAATTGGGCCTTGTGCCATATCTAACCGCGTGGGTAGGTTGGTAGATATCCTGCAGTTGGAGATTCGTTTCCAGCTGAGCTGGTCAAACTCTCTGCCTCCGCGTCGAGAGCATCCCCAGACGATGGTATGTCAAAGAGAAAAGTCTCGTCTCGGCAGACAGCTACCCGATCCCGTTCTACGGGCAATTTGGGCCGAGCTTACGGACTTGTATACCTCACATTAAATTCTGCCTTGTACCACATCTGACCGCGTGGGTCGGTTGGTAGATATCCTGCAGTTGGAGATTCATTGTGGAATCCACTTGAATCACTTCTAGCAGTTGACTACTACTTCTACGCGCCGCTGGCGAATCTTATATGCGTTGTCCTTGTCCTTAGTATTATCTTTCATTACCTTCGTGTGATTATTCTATTCAGTAACCTTTCGTAGATTACAACAGAAATCGAACCCCTCTCCAATTTCTTGAAATTTTTGAGCAACATTACCATTACTTTTTTAAAATTCTTACGCAAAATAAATGATTGCATGTGTAAGCTCTTATGTCGATTCCAGCTTTACCTTTCTGGGACTAAGTTCTCCATTTGAAGGTGAGATGATGGATTTGTAATCTCAAGTTGAATATTTATATTTCCAAGGTCGGCTTTAATTGTCTTAAGGCATGAATCTTTTGTACGATCCATGTTTTTGTTGCATAGTTCGAAGCATTGTTACAAGATTCTTTTTACGGAAAAGAAAGAAATGTTGATATTTTAACAAGAATTTCCAGTTCAAAGACGATGGAACAAACATTGTGAAAACATGAAAAGACATTGGGTAAGAGGTCCTCGAACTGATGAGACCCAATGTGAAACGTAATAATACCCAACTGAGAAAACTTGCCATCAAAATAGAGAAAATCAAAAACGCCCTTGAATTAAACAAAGCGAGTACAAAAAACGAATTTAGATGAAACATTTAAAAATGAATAAAAGAAATTTGAGAAAAATGATTTACTTAATTAATGGTACTCAAATAACAGAACAGGAATGATTTCTTTTTTAAATCGTACCTTGCCTAATTTTCATAGACTTTTATTACATAGACATATATATATATATATATATATATATATATATATATATATAGGATATCGAGACCGGACAAAGTTTAATAAATCTAACAAAGCGTTTCGACATCTTCGGATAGGCTTCTTCAGATCGAAATGAAAGAAATCTATATTTGTGTCTGCGTGTGTTTGTGAGTATGTTTCAATATTAAACAGTTTTAACCCCTATAGCTATTGATTTTGCTCATTGTACCAGCATGCCCATCTCAGTTTTGATACTCATAACGTTTCAGCCGTTGTAGAGAGCCTTCTTCAGATATCTTCTTTTTGTACTCGGTAACCTTATTGGAAATTAGAACAGAACCTTTTATTCATTCCGCGGTGCTAGATTGTTCATCATCAAAAGCGCTCGATGTATAACACAGAGCCGTACAAACAAATTTTGGGTTTCTTACCTTTCCGCGTATGCGTCAGCCATCATCAGGCAAGACAGTAAAGATACCTTTACAAAATCTACGAAATATTTATAATTACAGAATTTAGAATATAAATTTCAGTTTATAATTATTTAGTGGGTATTTCATACTAAAAGAACTTGCAATAATAAACCACATACTAAGAAGAATTCCTCATCTAAAATTGCCGAAAAGATTAGCCATTATTATTATTACTGTAATGGGAGAGTTATGGAAGAAAGATTTATTCTCCGATTGATATTCCCCACGTTATGGACATTATTATATATGTGATATAACAACACAGTAGTTCACGGACTGATAGGAAAAAGAATGACAAACATGCTTTGTTCTCAGAAAGATTTTTATTTCACTAAGACATACACAAAACTATATATACACATGTCCCACGCGAAGAATAATAGATCACATATATCTACACAGCAAAGCAGAGTGTAAGAAGAAACAAAAAGGAGGGCTTTACATATAATATAGAGATATTCCTGTATCTGGAGAAGCCATGTTTAATACTCCAGGTTCAAATGGGCCTGAATCATCTATGTCCCAAGCAAGAGAGAGCTGGAGATTCATCCAAAGGGAAACGGAAACAGCACCATGCATTTGTAAGCTGCTGGGGGAGGCAGATTTAGCCTCGGTCCGAGCCATGGGAGAGGTTCGGACTAAAGAAAGTAACCTTACAGTTTAGCTACTGAAAACAAATGAATTTGACTGCCGCTTTCCTCACTGTATGAAGTGACGTCACTAAGCGGCCGTTAAATGACCCATGTGACTTACCTAAACCAAAGGGAGATAATAGAATATAGACTTACTGTGGAATATGAAAGGGACGAAGATGGTTCGACCACGTGTGCAAAATAGCGCAGGATTTTGCTGTAAAGATTTCAACTGGTGGAATGTAGCTCGTCAGAATAGTATCCATAGAAATAGCAATTTCGAAATGCTAACACATTTTTTATAATCAATTCACACCCAAGCAAGGCGATAATGCCACTAAGATGCAAGACGTTAATGGAAGTGAAAGAGAATAGCACTAAACCTTTTGGAGTGAGCTTGACTAAATGGATGTCGAAACAGAGCTTGGGAGAAATAACAAAAAGATAAAATTTATTAAGAGCTACAAAGCATAGGAAGTTGTGGAGAGCCTTGATCGCCAACGCCCTGAATGGATGTGGTACATAGAAGAAAGAGAATGAGTTTCTACAAATGGATGGCAAAAGAGTGTTCAGAGGAGATAACAAAAAGATAAAATTTATTAAGAGCTACAAAGAATAGGAAATTGTGGAGAGCTATGTTCGCCTACACCCTGAGGAGACACAGCATATAAAGAAAAAGATCATCCACATGACAAGAGTATTTTGCTGCTACTGCAAAGGAGGGAGGCATGCACCCCTTCGCATACTCTCTTTTCCGTCATCTGTCGTGGCATGCCAGCGATGAGACATTTTTGTCAATTGAGTTGCCAATAGGAGTGAATGCATTCTTACCTTTCCCTGGAGCGTTAGTGCTAATGGAATAGAAGCAGCCTCGTTTTAAATTCAACCACGATTTGCCGATTTCATTTTTTCATGCTGATGTTAAGCCATCTCGCAAACGATTACACTGATGTGAAACTTCAGTTTCGTCTCTTTCATCTTCCTCTAGATTTTCATGTGAGTTCTAAACCAACACAAGCTTATTCCATTCTCCTTTGTACGTACTCAGTGTAAATATTTGGTAAAATTTTCTGGTTCGCTTGTTAAGGAATGCAATAAGTGTCTGAGGTGTGCGTGTATAGATTGGAATGCACTGAGGTGTTTTACCACAGAATCTTAAAAGATAGAAATGTTGTGAACGAAAAAAAGAAAAAAAAGGGGGGTACATTTATTGGTGGATCTGTTTTACGCCCGACGACTTCTGAGGTGGACAACGACTGGCGGTAAATAATCAATAATCCTGAACATTCTTTGATGATCACCGTCAGTAAATTGATCATGGAGTGTCGCGGAGAGGATCCGGGAAAACGGATGGAGTTGAAGCAATGTTTTTGATTGGGGCAAGAAAGAAAGAAAGAATGAAAGAAAAGAAAGAGGGAATGAAGGAAAGAAAGAAAGAATGAAGGAAAAGAAAGAGGGAATTAAGGAAAGAAAGAAAGAATGAAGGAAGCGAAGAAAGAAGGAAAGAAAGTCCGAAAAAATGAAGAAAGATGGAGAGAAAGAAATAATGAAGGAAAGAAAGAAGGAATGAAGGAAGAAAGAAAGAAAGAAAGACGGAAAGAAAGAAGACAAGAAAGAAAGAAAGAAAGAAAGAAAAAGAAAGAAAGAAATATGTATCCTAAAATAATATATATATATATTATTCATTTTAGAAATAATGAAGGAAAGAAAGAAAGAAAGAATGAAGGAAAGAAAGAAGGAAAGAAAGAATGAAGGAAGGAAAGAGAGAAAGAAGGAATGAAAGAAAGAAAGAAAAAAGAAAGAAGGAAAGAAAAAAGAAGGAATGAAGGAAGAAAGAAAGAAAGAAAGAATTAAAGAAGGAATGAAAGTAAAATGAGAGAGAGATGAAGGGGCAAAAAGAAAGACACAAAGATGTTGAAAATTTAAAAAAAACTAAAAGTATACACACACACACACACACACACACACACACACTATATATATATATATATATATATATATATATATATATATAGGTAAAGATGAGACCAAATTTAATTTTAAAAAGAGGGCTCTATACAAACTAGAGCAATATTATTTATTTTAGGATATGACATCGAAAAGCATGTCAAATACACTACACAATTCCAGTCGTGTTTCGATACGTAACAAAGAATCTTATCAGGCGATTGTAAATTACTGGCGAGTGAATCAGTATTTTATACACGCCAATAATTCACAACAAACTGATGAGATGCGTTGTATGTGCATCAAAACACGACTGGAATTGCGTAGCGATTTTGGTATGTTTTCGATGTAATATCCTAAAATAAACTATATATATATATATATAGATACACCTAGTGAGCCAGACAAACCTACCTAGGTTTCATTTAAACGGATCGTCAGGTTCCTGACGATCCGTTTAGGTGAAACCCAGGTAGGTTTGTCTGGCTCACTAGGTGTATCTAGGTCTGCTCTACGATTGTATTGAGCTCTTTTTGTTGAGTTAGTTGTTACTCGTATCGGGGTTTTTTCTTTGGGCTTCAGACCTGCATCTGTGCGATTTTTTGTCGGCAGAAGTTCATGTTTGTAGCTCTTTCTTTTTTTAAAACCTTTTTTCCTCAGGAAATTGATTTGATTAACAAATCAAAAATTCAAGGGTTTTTCGAAACGAGTCTAGTTATTTATATATATATATATATATATATATATATATATATATATATATATATATATATATATATTATTATAGGATACATATATATATATTATTTTCGGATATATATATATGTATATGTGCCTGTGTATATGTGTGTGTATTAAGAAATATAGTTTTAATTTATACTATTTTTGTGCAATAAAGTGCTCAATATCTGAGATAGAACATATGTAAATATAAAAGTGATTATTTAAGTCCTACACTCAGAGGCGACAGACTATTTTATGCTAAACGCAATCATCAGGACTGAGGTGTTGACAATATTCACCTTTATATATATATATATATATATATAATTAATATATATATATATATATATATATATATATATATATATATATATATATATAGCGATGTTAACGATCGTATGAAGCCAAAAATGTTGACAGTCAATGGGATACTGAGAAAAGATATTTAAGTCAATGAGTCTTCGCAATAAAGTATTCGATATCAAAGGAGACCTTGAATAGAATTACTGTAAGTAAAAGGTTTGTCACTTAGTTGATTGATTTTACATTCGGTATCCCGACTCCAGTGTAATTGATGATACCCACTGAAGAGTGGACTGACACGTCCGTCTTCGAAATTCTGGGGTCGGGATATGAAGGTAACATCAATCATATACAAACTTTTTCTATATTAAAATTAATTATATACATATATATATATATATATATATATATATATATATATATATATATATATATATATATATATATATAATTTAATAGAATTAATAAAGTAAAAGTTATATATAACGGCAGAGTATCAGTTATGTATATATATATATATATATATATATATATATATATATATATATGACGATTGTGTTTGGCATGACTATCACCTCTGGATGTTGACTTCAATCTCTTTTTATATTTATATACAATCAATGACTCATTGAAGGCAATGGCAGACCTGTAATCTTTTTCTGAAGTCAGGCAGTCACTGATTTAGATGTATATTTGGGATCATTATCTAGATGAAAATTTTGCACTGATAATTTGTTAGGTACCTATTCTATTGTTATGGACTCTCCCATAGATAATAAGTAGGAGTAGCAGTGGCAAGTCTGGCAGAATGGCATCTCGCGGTCTTTGACTGCGGACGCCTCCCTGTCTAACTCTCTGCGTTGGCAGAGGAACCCGGACGAGGCTTTGCCGAAGGGCAAGGTTTCGTCCGGGAGGTGGATGGGGCCTGAACCCGTCTAATCGGCTTCAAAGGTTATAATTTTTTTGGCCGAGCCTACGGGCCTCGGAGAAACCCACATAAAAACCGGGTTTTGTGCCATATTCTTTTCCGTGGGTGAAAAGATAAATACCGAATGGCATCTCGCGGTCTTTGACTGCGCACGCCTTCCTGTCGAACTCTCTGCATTAGCAGAGAGGAACCGGACGAGGCTTTGCTGCAAGGTTTCGTCCGGGAGGTAGACAGGGCCTGAACCCGTCTAATCGGCTTCAAAGGCTATTTTTGGCCGAGCCTACGGGCTCGAGAGAAACCCACAATAAAAAACCGGCTTTGTGCCATATTCGGTCCTCGTGGGTGGAACGATAAATACTGAATGGTGTTGAGCGCGTCAGTCGAGATTCGGACATTTGAAGTACCAACCATCACAACTAGATTTGCTGTGTCATTGACTCTTATTTTCCAAGTTCCTAACGTTTTGTACGTCGGACCTAATTTAGGACGACTTATTAGAAATACAAGCCTCCACTGTTAAAATACTCCACAACATAATTGTAGATTTTCATTTTGATGTAGTCTGCAAATTTCATTATTTCTCTTATTACAATTAATTGTTCACTCCCCCTTGAGCTAAAACAATCCCCAAACATCATCAAGCCACCTGTTTTAATGTTGCCACTGTGTTCTTTGGGAGGAAAGCCTCACCTTTCTTGCACCAAATCTTTTGTAGATCATTGGAAGTCTGTGCATGCGAAGGCTTACACCCATATCACGGTGAAACATTGATTCTCGCTCGGTCCCTGAAGTTAAGCAAGTTTGAGCTCGATCATTACGCAGATGAGCAACGCGACAGGCGACGGATGCAATCTCGCTACTTATCGAGGTCTTCTGTTAGTACAAGGGTGATAGGCATTTCAGGATTGACATACCTTGAAATTGGGTGAGTACTAAGTATGGATTAGTACGCATGAAACGTATGTGCGAAAAGTGCACACGGTGTAAAATTACCCAAGGATCTCGATGTATAACACAGAGCTGTACAAATATACTTAAAATATTTTGCAAATCCTGCTTTTTACCCTTCCGCGCATGCCTAAGGAAATCATCAAGCAGGATATTATGGATGCCTTTACACAATCTATTAAATATGTATAAAATTTACAATATATATTAAAACAATATATATATTGTTTAAAGTTGGCTATATTTACCAGGGAGAAGTGGTCCATAGTGGGGATAATGTGTTGTTGATATAAACTATGAGGACATAGAAATCAACCCTGGATGGTGGTGACAGTTTTATAGCTAAAACGATCATCAGATCATTGTTACGGCTCTGTGTAAGCTTTACATATAGGCCCACACAGAGTAAGATATGATCGGATGATCAATAAGGCATAAAAGTTAACATGAACGGTTGATTTGCCTTTGTGTATGTTTTCGTGTGCATATTATTATAGACTAAAACTTATTATTTTTCACGCAATCTTCTTAGTCCTTCTCTGCACTAAATCCATTTATTAATAACATAACATTATACAGTCAAAATTTAAGATCAAGATTTAGATAATAACTATCATTCAGTCTGTTTACTTATTGATCCATCTTCCCGCATACACACACTCATAATTTTATTATAAGATATTATAACAAAAACATGTTGAAATCGCTACAAAATAGTGTTTCGGGACTACGTTGTGCCTCTTCAGGCGATAGTAAGTGACTGGTGATTAAATAATTTTTAAGAAAATTTCAAAAGGAAAGTGTTACCTTTTTTCCGAAAAATAAAGGTGAGGTGGGGGAGAAAACACATTAAAAATAGACTTGAGGGTTTGTCTTGATCAACCAATTAAATATCAGATCTACGCTAATATATATATATATATATATATATATTGAAAGGCCAAATATTAAGTTGGAATAAACGTTAAAATCTAATGTATATTGAGAAGAGAAATTATGTGTGTGTGTGTGTGTGTGTGTGTGTGTGTGTGTGTGTGTGTGTGTGTGTGTGTGTGTGTGTGTTCCTGTGTGTGTGTCTGTATGCATGTGTGTGTGCGAACATAGATTTGCTTTGTTTCTGTTGATTTTGGTTAGCGGCATATCAACTTTATTATTTAATGTCGAAATCTAAATATTTTGAACGCAATTTCATGCCTTCAACTACAAATAAAATTGTTGATCATTTTTGCTATAAATGCATCGCTGGTCATTTTACTATAAATAGGTATTGCTGGTAATTTTACCATAAAAATGTATTGCTTGTATCTTTACTATAAAAATAAATTGCTGGTATTTTTACTAAAAAAAGTATTGTTATAATTTAATAGTGTTTTGTTTTTCTTTGGTTGTTCACTATTTGCCGATAGCTGGGGCCATAACGGGTACTAAGTCAGGATGAACCTGGGAACAATAGCATTTAAGAGGTAGTTCTACGCACCTCAAAACCTCCAAGTGTGCTTATCCGAAACCTTGAAAATTAAAAATATATACATATATATATAATGTCGTAAGGAAGTAATGTTTTTTTTTTCATTTATTAATTCGACAGATTTTATTACTTAAACATTATTTTTAGTGGATATCCAGCCATTTTGTTTATTTCTTAATTTTGGTCAAACGGCCTGAATATTTGAGAAATCTTAGTAAAGAAAAAGATGCTCGCTCTGACACGATTCGAACCTGCGTGACACTGGGCAGTCAAAACCCTCGTTAGGTGCCATCTGCTTTGCCAACTCAGTCATGGAGCAGCTCGCTGATCGAGTTGGTATAAACACGTATGATCCAATATATATGTATACCTACGCATACACACGTACACACACGTTCACACTCACATTTGCACGCACACACACCCACGCGCACACACACGCACGCGCACACACGCGCGCGCGCACACGCACATATTATATATATGTGTGTGTATGGGCGTGTGTGTGTGTGTGTGCACGTGGGTGCGTGTGCGTGCAAATGTGAGTGTGAGCGTGTGCGCGCGTGCGTAAGTGTGTATGCGTAGGTATACATATATATATTTTGTGTGTGTGTGTATGTTACATACACACACACACACACCATATATACATATATATATATATATATATATATATATATATATATATATATATATATATAACTTTTTAAAACTTTTTTAAATCTTTTATTTTATAATCAACAACACTATCACTTGACAAGACACCAACAGAAATGTTGAAACAAAATGGCTATTTTTGTAGTGATGTTATAATATGCTTATGTTATAATATATATATATATATATATATATATATATATATATATATATATATATATGTATGTATATATATATATATATATGTTACCATTCGCTCGGCCGTATTTAAAAATAAGATCTGCCTGTTCTCAATTTAAATATCCTGCCATTGTTAAACGGAACACTTCTCACTTAACTAGCCACAACACAAATTTACACAAATAACAAATGTTACCTAGTCTCTTTGGCAACACAGCGCCATCTGCCGTACATTTGCTGTAAACTTAATAATTAGAAAACGAAGGATTTGCCGCCATATGTTTATATGGATTTTTTTTCCTTGTTTAGTGTGAGAAACTCGTCCCCAAAGTCTGTAAAAGTATTTTTGATACACCATATATATATATATATATATACATACACACACACACACACACACACACACACACACACATATATATATATATATATATATATATACTTATTAAAATTCCGAAACATAGAAATATCCGTGTTTCGATGTAAAATATTTTTAAAATAAAATAATATATATATATATATATATATATATATATATATATATATATATATATATATATATAGATATATATATATTCTCAAGTGTAAACTGAGAATGAGGTAGTCTTCACGGAAGGTCTATATTATTTGAGAAACCAATGGGAAAGAATGAATGAAAAAAAAAACGTGTTGGGCTGGTGTGGGTCAAAGATTACATGTGAATTGATTTCGTGGATCCAGAGGAATGACTTTACAAGCCTCGATTTCATCGGCCGACTTTCCTCCCGACCTTCTGCCACTCCTAACGATGTTATTTATAGAAGCAGGCTTAATATAGCGTCATGCTGTCCTCCACTCACCTCATTCGACCCTTGGATCGCTTCATATCCCAAACCCTCGTTTATTTTTGATGATGACTCAAAAGTTATTTCGCCCTGTTGGAAGTTATCCGAGCACGTTGCAGCAGCGTCTGAATTATGGATTGTATTTTCTATTAGCATTAATCTTATTATTTGTCCTGATCTGCCATCTTGCTTTTCCTCTACACTTGTGCGCATGTGCGTACGGCTGTCGTCGTAATTCGTTTTTTTTTTTCTTCATTTTTTTTTGTTTTTTTTTTCATTAGTTATTAAAATTGTTATTCTTTTTTGCTGGGGAAAAATTAAAAATTTCATAGTTAAGCGAAGAGAGTCCGTATGGTCATATGCTTGCTTTTGAAGAAGCTTCGCCTAGACGCGATAGCTAGCAACCAAATTTCTCAGATCCTTACTACCACAGGGATTACGATCATCAAAAGTATGACCTTATAGCAGACTTCTTTTATGTATCCCGTCTCTTTACGACATGGCCGATCCCAGCTCTCCACAACTTCCTGTCCTTTGCAGCTTTTAGCATATTTTTCTTTGATACACCCTCCTTCTCTCTCCTTGTTCCGTCATGCATATTCTTGTTAGGGAAGTTAATCGTTATTTCTTACTGTCCCCGATGTTGTCTGCATGTCCTGCCCTGCGAGTGCCAAATTCACCAAGCCCTCTTTCCTCCAAAACATTTCAAGCCCCTTTCTAGTTCTAAGTATAAATGTACTTTTTGCTTCCATTGTCTCTAAAACTTCTCTGTCGCTCACATATTATGCTATATCTCAGCATCCTTCTGTAGAACTTCATTTCTGTTTCTTCGAGTCTTTTGTTCATCTGTGAAGAAATTGTCCAGCATTCCCTGACATATAGGTGAATTGTTATTACATAGGAGTTTTTTTTCTTTTTTTCATTGTTTTTTCGCGAATTTTTCTGTTCCTTAATACTTTGTTTAGCTTTTGGAAGGCATCATCCTCTATTCCAATGCACTTTCGGATTTTGATGTCATATATTCTGTCATCTGTTAAAAGACTTTCGAGATAGATAATTAACATCTGCAATTCGTACTTTGCATTTTGAGATATTCCTCTTTCGGACAACAAAATATTTCGAGCAATTAATATTTCAGCAACTTGTTTGCTAGATAACTAATCTCGCAGACCATTAATATTGTGACAAGAGCAATTCCTCCTCTACACGTTGGATATTGTGTCAGTCCAAACGTTCTAAATATTTTCTACACTTATTTTAGCTCTATGTGTAACAACATCGTTTCACAGACAAAGTCGCAAATTTAGGGAACATAATCTTTATTAGGTGCACCCTTATTATAACCTTGTGTCAGACTAAATAAATCAGATACTGGTAAGTTAGATACTTATTTATTGTAGGTGGATAGATAGATTTGTTTTTTAAGGATTAAGTTAGATACTTATTTATTGTTGATGGATAGATATATTTGTTTTTTAAGGATTGTTAGATTATTCATTGTTAGGATGATTATTTGTTTTTTAAGGGATTGTTAGATGGATAGATAGATTTGTTTTTTAAGGATTAAGTTAGATACTTATTTATTGTTGATGGATAGATATATTTGTTTTTTAAGGATTAAGTTAGATACTTATTCATTGTTG